ATAAAAAATGAATTTGGGGCCAAGCTGGTCAAACAGAGAGCCAAATTCAACTTGTTTCCAGGTGATGTTAGGTGGTAGGTAGGGAGTCTTCACTGATAGCAGACAGCTGTCTCTGTGAAGGTCACTGTGTGCAAATGGTAGTGTGCAAAATCCTGTTTTGCCAATACTGCAGCAGCAGCTCTGACGCGTCCTGTTGCGTGATCCGCACGGTTACAGACGTACCCCTCCATTGTTAAGTACAAGTTTGTGTGTAGATGTGTTTCTGAGATGAGCATAATAATTACATCATGTTTTCTCAGAAAAAATTTGAGCTCATTAAAATTTTGAAGGATGCCGCGAGCGTTCCACGATCCGAGATGCAACTGGGTAGCCATTATTTGCGGCTGATTGGGAAAACGAGCTCGTTGCGTTGGAGAGGGTCGCGATGGGCTTTAGAGCGGCTCGGCATGTGCCAGTTGAGACAGATGTCCTGTGGGTTTTAGAGCGGCTCGGCATGTGCCAGTTGGCTCGGCATGTGCCAGTTGAGACAGATGTCCTGCAGCCGCTGCTGAATGACGCTGTGGTTTTAGTGGTTTTTGCTGTCGTTGTGCTGACAGCGCCATGCTAATGCAGGTACCAAGTACCGGCTGACCGCGAGGTGGAGGTGCCGTTCCGATTTGCTCTCCTGGCGGGCATGTCTTCGTTGTATCGGTAAAAATCTTCAAGTGGTCTGCTTCCATTGAGCCGATCGACATTAGTGGATCATAATAGTAGGGGAGGTTGCTAAGCTGTTCGGCGGCGGATAGATTGGCGAATGAATTTTTTCGCCTTGAGTCCGGTTGTTTGTAGCCATTTTTTTTTTTATTTTATTATTTTTTTCCAGCAGGTTGAATAAAAGATAAACTTAATTTTTTTACCCTTCATTACAAAAACATCCTGTATTTTTGAAACAAGTGAGCGGTGCACAAACGCGCATACGCACTCAAGACTGCAATTTTTACGTCCGATCTAAAAAAAAAACACAAACCTAAGTGTAACTTACTGAATATAACTGAATTTCAGGTTACCTGCTTTTTGAATTAACAGTTCTGTACCATTATATAGCGCATTCATACATAACGGATAATTAAGATTCTTTAATCCCAAACGGATTTAACTGCCTTCTTTTAATTGCAAAAGGGATGTGCCTTTATTCTTGACAGATCGTCTTATATTTTTAATTTGCATTAAGCGTAATCTATACTGCTTGCGTGTGCTAAATTGTTTTTCGCTTTCCTTAATTGTGTCCGTGTTAAGCGACTTTATTTTGTTATATTTATTTGGCTTAGTACATGTATTTATTTATTTTTTTCTTTCATTTTATTATTTTGATCAGTGCAATAAGATCTCATTTATGTGTGTTAATCTTCGCCAGGTCTGAGATTGTCTGAGATAGTGTGTGAGTTAATTTTTAATTTAATTTAATTTTTGTTCATTTTTGCTATTGAATTTTCCTATTTGGTAGCTCGGCGGTTCTGAATCTTTTCAGTCTTCTTGTTTGTAGGAGTTGTCTTGCAGCTGCGTTAGGGTGATGGACTGGGCATCTCCTATCTTGGTGAGTTTGAGGTCAATTTCAATCATCGAGTTTTTCACGTACCATGGGAGGCCACTAATGCGTCTCGCTGCATCGACTGAACTTTCCTGATTTTGATCAGCTGTGTTTTTGAAGCAGTTTCCCGGAGTTGAATGCCATAGCTCCATATGGGTGCCACGATGTTCTTGAAAATAGAGCGTTTGCAACCCAATCGTAGTGAGCTCTTTTGTCCAATGAGCTAATCAAGTTTTGCCTTAGCCTTGATTGCCGTGCTGGATAAGTGTGATGCCCAGGTTAACCTTTTGTCCAGCGTAATGCCAAAATATCTGTGACTTGTTGCTTGCGGTATAAGCTGGTGGTCGAAAAATATGCCTGGACAGCTGTTGCTTCGTAGGGTGGACAAGACAGTGGAAGAGGTTGCGTAATTGTTTTTAATGTTCCACCGTATTGTCCACTCTTGAATTAGAGTAAGGTGTTCTCGCAGGTCGTCTGTGGCTGCATACTCCATTGATTTTCAGCTAATATTGCTGTGTCATCGGCAAATGTTGCAATGAGTATATTTGGAGGTGGGTCGGTATTGTGTTGACTTCTTGTCGGACTTGGCATTTTGTATATATAAAGTATGTATATCACAGGTCCTGGCACATTTCCTTGTGGAACACCGGCTTTTATGTGTTATCTTTTTAAAAAATCACTCTTGCAGGAGACACAGAAGGTTCTTTTAGAAAGGAATGATTCTAGTATAAGGTAATACGGCACTGGAAGCAGGTGTCTTAATTTTAATTTTAAGCTGTCATGCAATACTCTGTCGAATGTCTGCTGAACGAAAGAAAAGCGGCGACGCAGTACATTTTGGCCTATGATGCAGTTGGCAATTTCTGCTGCTTCAATAGGCCTGATGTAGGCTGCCATTTGGAATGGCTGTCTTGTTATATTGCGAGTAAGGTTCCAGAGGTTTAATTCTAGGCTCTGCTCCAGATAGTTTGTGGCTTATCCACTTGCTCTGTATATTTTATAGCAGCCTTTGAAGAATATTCCCAATGCGATTCCACTGAGCTTTATTGGCGATATCTCAAGTTCGGATGTAGAGTTTCAGGTAAGTTCTTTTAATCTCCCAAAGAAGCGGCTTTCAAAACAGGATCTGTGAGCTTACACAGTGCTGTGGAGGTGCGTGATTGTCCCGGCGCCGTTGATGAGAAATAGGATCAGCAGTCTCATTAAATAGTTTAATTTTTCTATAGAGTCTTCTAGCTGCTCTTTAGTTGATAGTTGTAAGCCATGGTTAATCCTATAGCAGCACCCCTGGAAAAAAGTCTTGCCGCAGCAGGGTGATATTCTAGTGAGTCCAGCGTGTCGAATTGTAGAGGCAGATAATACGACAATAGTTCGTATCGTGAGTTAATACGAATCATTGCATGGCATATTTGGAGCCCAGCCCCGATGAATTGGGACGTGGGTAGCGCTACCAGTTACCAGTAAGTTGATTTAATTGGAGAGCATGGCTATGTGCAGAGCGTTACCTCTGCTGCAGCTTCTGACGTTGCCCCAAGAGTGATGTTTTCCATTCCAGTCTCCAGCGATTATGTTTTTGTTACCCAACGAGACAACGAGATCATGAAGTTCATTAATTCCGATGGAAATGTAGCTGGTAAGACAATATATATACGCCAGCACTAGATCGACCTGTGATGATTGCTACTTGCATGTAACTAAATGTGATTGAGTTTATGAAATAGTGTTTAATATTACTATTTATCAGTATAGCAGTGCTTTCCTGTGGGCCGTCATTAGGATAGTTATCTTTATGGAGAGTGTATCCTGGAACTCGTATGGAACTTCTGCAACAGAAGTGTGTTTCATTTACAGAAGAACAGCAACATACGTTAAAAAATATTATTGGTATGTTCGTCGAATATAGGCATTGCAAGAGGTACGGTCTGTCACGAATTTGCGCCTTATTTTATTTTTGGCTGGTGTGGCTGTTGCTTGGAGTGGGCAGCAACTAATGCATACAGTCAGTCAGTTGCGAACCCTGCCAAAGGGTGGAGCTCCCAACTAGAGCTTCTTACATGTTTAAATAGATCTTGCGAGTGTCTTTGTTTTGACTACGCCAAGATGGTTCATATGTAGACAACTTAATATCAGGTTACTGGCTTTATGAAATATCAGTTTTGAATTCCCATATCTAGCATTCATACTTAACACTTAGTTTAGATTCCTTAATCCGAAATGGCTTTAACTTGTCCTCATTTCATTGCAAAAGGGATCCGCTTTAATTCTTGACTGATGGTCCAATTTGTTAGATTTGCCTTTAAATTTTTGCCTGTCAAGCCTGTTGTTGCCCCCGAAAATAATCCGTTTTTTCCGACAAGCACAAGGTGAAGCTAAGAAGTAAGTCAATAGCATACCTCACAAGTAAATAGTGGCTGGCTTCCACTGTACGGGTCAGATGTCAACGCATATTATAGCGATTACCTTCTAGTACTACCTCAATTACAGAAACTTGAGATCATTGGTCCCAATTATTCCTTCCTAGTAACTGGTGTCTGGTGCTCATTATATGGAATGTATCGACGCAAATTGTAGCCACTACTTTCCGGTGCTGCCTCTTTTGAAGCACGCGCTAATAGCATAAAATCATATAAGTTTTCAGCATAAAAAGATGTCTTCGAGATAATTTGCTATTTTCATACCCAGAACCCATTGAAAATGGTTAAAAAGGGTATATTGTATTTGTGCAAAACGCAAATGTATTAACATGCAGCAGAAAGCATATCCGACCCCATAAAGTATGTATATTCTTGATCAGCATCAATAGCCGAGATGATCTAGCTATGTCCGTCTGTCTGTCCGTCCGCCCGTCCGTCCGTCCGTATGTATGAACGCAAGGATCTCAGAACATATAAGAGCTATAGACTTGAAATTTTAGATGTAGGTGCTCCTAGTGCCTGCGCAAATCGAGTTAGTTTCCGATAATCGATAACTTACTCCGTTTTCCAAGCAATCGATAAAAATCGATATCAATATCCTGTTTTTGGGAAATTTTGGTAAATAATAAGAGCTAGTGTCCCCAACTTGACATATAGCTTCTAAACTAGGATATATATATGCATTTGATTTTGGAAGAAGAGGGTTTAGGGTATCCCCTAATCGGGAGCTTCTGACTAGAACCTCTTACTTTTTTGTTTTTGTGTTAGTGCCCTGAAGACGGTTGCCGAAGAGCAGCCGAAATATATTGTTTTATTAAAACAAACCCGGACCGCGAGCCAGCCACCTTAACAAACTATACAATGGACAGGTCGCCAAATACAACATTTATAAGTTACAATTGTCAAACTCGCATATAAAATCGACTTTCCAGTACGACTTTGCAGCAAGTGTCCTTGGTATTAGGTTTTAAATATTTTAAAACCGTTTATATTAAGATAATACTCAAAAGTGGACTTACCTGAAACGTTGAATGAGTTTATCAATGACCAGAGAGTAACAGGCGCAGGAAAGGGAATACATCGCCATACCCCAGCATCCGAAGCGAACACCCTCCTCGTATTTCCGTTGAGGAATTGAACCTTCCAAAGCTCTGGGATCACCATTAAATACAGCTTCCCCGACAAAGTCGGTAAAATAAAGCGAGTAGCATACATGTGCCATCCAGCAAAAAAGATTTGTGAGACAAACTATGCGCAGGGAGTACGGCATGTACACAATAGAAAGTAAATAATGCGATAAAGACTGAACTTCCACATCGTTTTGCGGCATAGAAAAATCGGCCACAGGTTCATCTGTTGATTGTTTCAATGGTTCCTGATGTTCAATAAATGAAGTTTCGTCAAAGTTCTCTTTATTGGCGCAAGGGCTTTCTGATGTCACTGGGGGTGTCAGCTTTATAAATTTGAAAATGAAATGTAAAATAAAAATTTTATTATAAAAAAATATTACATACTATAAACAAAGAACATTATTTTAAACTCTTAAAGGTCAGCAGCCAATATCTAGAGTTGTAAAGATATAGTAGTTTTAGTCATATATTTATATATTTTTTGTAAATAAGCTGGGCACTCTAAGAAAAGAAGAAAGTAACACGAGGTAACGCCGACTCATAAAATTCATAAGGAAAACGAGAAAGTTCTATGATTAATTTTTTTACACAGTTATGATCAAATTGATAAAATTAGAGTTAAAGCCGCTGCTTGTGGAGAAAGGAGTCCCTGTGTGCAACACAGCGTCTAGATTGCTGAGAGATTGCGTGTCGCCGGAGAAGAATCCCCGAGTAATGGATATCAACGATGTCGAGCCGACCATGCAATTTTTCCTAGTCATTAGTCAACCGGAACTAAGTGATTCTCCTATTCGACCCTGTGATGTCCAATCACGAGGTTGTTAAACGATTGCAAAGCCGCTCGATTGGAGAAAGAGAATCACTTTTTAGCGATTTCATTGCCCTACAACTAAAATTTGAGGAAGCATATGTAGTAAAGTATATAGTTGACGAACTTGAAAACGTTCTGGGTACGCCTCTCAATATTATTATTATGGCACTTTTTTGAAAGAATTGTGTCAAATAGTCTATGCGATACCACACAGAGCAATTTGAATATGCTAAAAAATTCTGAGGGCATATCCGGTGGCAGAGTTGCATAAAAGTCGTCTTAAATGTTACGCTTCAAGCCAGAGATAAATATCCTTAGTTCGTCCTCTCAAAATTTCTGCCAAAGGCTACTCGCCATTGCCATGGCGTGAAACATGTTTTCCTTATTTGTTAGCAAGGTCACTTTCTTTTCTAACCATCGTAGTATTGTAAGATGGATAGATTACCTTGCCTTGGGCGTTTATCATTGTATACTAAAACGAGAAAGAAAGGCTATCTTTGGCACGCCGAAGATCTAATACCCTTGCAGACCCAACCTTTTCATAATGCTTATAGTGCTTTGCCCGTATCTAAGAAGCACAGGGAAAATAGTTAATACCGAGTTTGGGCAAGATATCTCGATAAACAAAAAAGGTTTTTAATCAAAAACCTAGTTTTCGAACGATCGTTCCTATGGCAGATATATGATATAGTAGTCCGATGTAAAAGAGATTTTGCAAAAATGAAGAGAGCATAGTGAAATCTTTAAATCAAAATATCTTGAATGACAAAAAGCTTTCCATACAACATCTTAATTTTCGACCGGTCGTTCCTATGGCAGCTATATGCTATAGTGTACCGATCTTAATAGGATTTTCCGTATATTTGAGGAGTATAGTAAAACTAATAAATGCCGAGTTTGGTCAAGATATTTTAAAAAACAAAATGTTGTTCATACAACAACTTACTTTTCGACCGATCGTTTCTATGGCAGATATATGATATAGTGGTCCGATCTTAATAGGATTTTGCATATACTATATGAGGAGTGTAGTAAAACTAATAAATGCCGAGTTTCATCAAGACATCTTGAAACACAAAATGTTTTTTTCATACAACTTAATTTTCGACTGATCGTTCCTTTGGCAGCTATATGATATAGGAGTCCGATTCGGCTGGTTGACATATGTGCTGCTAGGGACTTCTGTTAAGTTTCATTAAGATAGCTTTAAAACTGAGAGACTAGTTCGCATAGAAACTGACGGACATGGCTATAATGACTCGGCTGTTGAATATACCCTCTGCAAGGGTATAAAAAAAGTGCGCAAAAATCGCCTCAAAGTTTAGGACTGTATTAAGGATAATTTCTACGTGTTTAAAGACCTTGATTTGTTGGATTGCGACATACGTGACTTTGACATGACTTGACAACTCGCTAATTTGTTGTGAAAACTCGTTCCAATTGAACTTCTCTCTGATTGAGCCGTAAATTAAAAGCCCTTAACTATTGGATGAGTCTCTTGGGCCTAAAAAGCCCACTCCTTGTGATTTGACGTTGCCTAACACCCTTCAACCTCCAACTGCAATTCAGCAGCCTTCTACACCGATTACACAGAAGCTCATCTCGTTTGTTACTCCAGTAGCTGGTAGATCCGCTGTGGATACTGATTCTGTACCGAAATGTGAGACATCGATTAATTTTTCAACAGCCGCTAGAAGGCTCCTCGTCCGGACTTCCGGCTGTTTTAGGTAGCACAGTTGATAGTGTTCCCACCATCCTGCCTGTGGCGCCTAAGCCTGTAGTCGGTGTTCCACCGAAGAGACATATTTGTATTTTTAGGCTTGCCCCTCACTTCTCATCAGATGATATAAAAGCCTTTATACCGGCAAAAATTTAAGCTCAAGGTATAATGGTGAGTAAATTTAAGTTTTCCTATTGCGTCCTTTAAAATAAGTGTTCCGCCAGAAATATTTACTAATATTTGTTGTAAAGAGTTATGGCCGGAAAACGTAATAGTAAAAGAATATAAAGCCAAAAAGAAAAATCGGACTCCAACAACTTTTAGTTGCTGTGTCAAAAAACTAATTTCTTCTTTCGAGCTTGCCTACCAGAATGTTAGAGGTCTTAAATCTAAACTCGCTAACCTGTATTTAGACTCTTTAGCTTTTAATTTTCAAATTATCGCTTTCACTGAGACCTGATTAAAGCCGGACATCTCAGACTCTTCAATTTGCACCTCCAAATACACCAGTTACAGGTGTGATCAAGTTTAGCGAGTCTGAGGATAAGTACTTGTAGCGGTTGAGTCTACTCTTTCGTCGGAACGCATTGATCTTTCCATCTCAGAGACTGAGTTGGTGGCAGTAGGAATTGTATTTGGATTTTTCCCTATATATTTCGTCTTCTTATATACCGCGTCTATCTAACTTGTCCACCTATAAAACTTTTCTTAATGCGACCTTTTAGTAGTTCTTGGGGACTTTAATCTTCCAGTTGTCGAGTGGTCATCGCCATTAGACTTAAGCTTTTTGTTGCCATCTTCCTCAAACGAATTTATTGATGGTCTGCATGAACTGTCCTTACGGCAGATTAATCGTGTGCGCAACTCAAGAAACAGATCTCTTGATCTTATTATACCCTGAACCCATTAAAAATGGGTATAAGGGTATATTGCATTTGTGCAAAATCCAAATGTATGTAACAGGCAGAAGGAAGTATCTCCGACCCCATAAAGTATATATATTCTTGATCAGCACCAATAGCCGAGTCGATCTAACCATGTCCGTCTGTCTGTCCGTCCGTCCGTCTGTCCGTCCGTCCGTCCGTCCGTCCGTCCATATGTATGAACGCAAGGATCTCAGAACCTATAAGAGCTAGAGACTGAGACTGAAATTTTAGATGTATTTGATCGAGTTTGTTTCCGATAATCGATAACTTACTCCGTTTCCAAGCAATCGATAAAAATCGATATCGACATCCTGTTTTTTTTACTAAATTGGGTAAATAATAAGAGCTAGAGCCACCAAACATGATATGTTGCTTCCAGATATTTCAAGTATCTTTCATTTCATACCTATCGCCACCTCCCCGCTACCACCCCAGACCTATAAATCAAATTAATAACCCAAATTTTATTGCCAACCAATTTAAGCCACAATTTAAATGCTATTGACTTTTTCAGAATACATAAATATTCTATGGTACAATAAGATATACTGTAGAAAATTTCATAAAGATCGGCTAGGAAAAACCAAAGTTATATGCAACTGCGCAATTGAATGGGGCAGCAGCTTTAAGAATTTCTGTATACATGTACACACACACATTCATGCGCGTTTGCTTCGCATTCCAACAGCATGGTAATTGCATCTTTTTTTGTAATGTTATTTTAGTTCCTTTTTTATCATAAGTGCTTAATTGTTGGTGTGCCTGCTGAGTAGAGGCATAGCAGGTAGCGCGGTCTGTCGCAAGTTCGAGCCCTACCGGGGAAAGTATTATTATTTTTTTTTTTGCTCGTGTGGCTGTTGAATAGAGTCGACAGCAAGTAATGCGGTCCGTTACGAGTTCGAGCCCTGCCAAGGGAACTTTTTTTTATTAATTTATTTGGTGTTGGAATAAGAGGGTTCAGGGTATCCCCTAGTCGGGAGCATCCGACTAGAACCTCTTACTTGTTTTCGTGTTGAATTCGTTCTACAGTGTTGTGCACAGGAGCAAACCGCTAACTTTTCCTGCAGACCCATTTCATCCAACTTTGGTAATGTTCATTGATTTAATAGCCTAGTCCGTAACACGAAATCTGAATTAGCTGAACGTATACGTTGTTTCAGAAAGGCTAATTTTCATAAGTTTAATGATCTTATTCTGCAAGTCGACTGGTCCCAACTGTACAATTGTGCAGACATTGATATTGCCATTAAACTTTTTGATGATAAATTTCATCTGTTATAAAGACTACCTTTTTTCAAACTAACTACTCCTCCTCTATGTATAATAAAAATCAGCCTTATCCTTATCAGTTACAAACTGCATCTTAAATCCCATTATTACCGAAAGTTCGCTTCTTAGCGACTTTAACACTATCAAGCCGGTTTATTCACCTGCCTATGATGGTATTCATGCTTGCTTGCTTAGATATTGCGCTGCAGCATTATGCAAACCTGTTTTAAGACTTTTTGAAGTGTCCGTAAACACTTCATCTTTTCCCACCATTTCGAAAATATCATACATTTTCCGTCTCCTAAGAAAGGGAGTAACGTAATGGTAGATTGTCGATGCTATCGTGTCCGGTAAGACCTAATATTAAACGCGAACTAGCAAACACACATTGAAAATTATCCAGAAAAACGGTAAGCATTTTGAATCTCAATAGAGTTGTAGCAAATTGTTGTACACTTGTTTTCTATATATTTTTACATCTAATTATTATACCCTGAACCCATCAAAAATGGGTATAAGGGTATATTGTATTTGTGCGAAATCCAAATAAATATAACAGGCAGAAGGAAGCATCACCGACTCCATAAAGTATATATA